CAGCCATACCATGCGCGAGAGACCGTGCTATCGATGCCGCCCGCGGATTGTACCAGTTCTTCCTTCGACACAGAGAGATTCCACGCATAGTATCCTCTGATCGAGGCACACACTTCACTGGAGAAGTCTATCGACAATTCTGTAACCAGATGTCAATCACGCAAGAACTTCACTGTCCTTGGCGCCCGCAAAGCTCAGGAAATATCGAGAGACAACATCGCACGATGAAGAACGCATTTTATATGTTATGCGAAGACAGCAACTGTGAATGGACAGACGTTCTAGAATCTGTCGTTTCGTCCATGAATGCCACGACTAACAGCGCCACCGGTGTCTCCCCGTACTATGCCATTACTGGTCGTCACCCCAACATCGGCCTACCCACACTACACAGAAAAGAAATCGCAAGTGACGATCCTGGAGAATATGGAATGCAAATTATTACCCTGCTAAAGCAGGTTCACCACCACGTCACCCTGGCCAACTATGAAGCTGACCACAAACTTGAGAATAACTTAAATTGCCTCACATACAATACAAGCAGGCGACAAGGTTTTACTTCACCGGCCACAATCAACTGTTGCCCAATCCTCTCATCTGCCCTGGATAGGAAATTACACCATTATAAAAACGAACAATATGATGTGTCAGGTGCAAAACGATAATAGTGATACAATCTGGATTCACCGTGCACCACTGGCTCCACGTCCAACACATCTATCTAATACAATCCCTCTGCCTCCACCATGTAACAGTCACCAGGATCATTCTCCTCCACATCCCTCTGGGACGCATAATTCATCAAATAACTCCATACCAAAACAAATGCCAATAAGAAGAACACGAGGACAACTTCCCACACGCTTCAGAGACTTTATCATGAATTAATTACCCAAATATACACGAATAACGCACACTGTAAATCAGACTGAGACCTGGGGGAGCCTTATTATAAAATAAAATAAGACATATCTCGGCTGATTTGCAGGCAAATAAACTAACATACTCAAGAGCGAGAGCCGGATGTGAACGGGACAAGGCCCCGTCACAAAATGACCATATTTACGCGTTTACGCATATTCCCGACGCACGAGTTCCGGTCAAAAAATAAAATAATATTTTAAAGTGTTTCTATTTTTCGACCAATAAAAATGCTTCCCTCCTAATTATACTCGCGTCGTTTTACGAGCCTGTCAAGCCATAAAAAAAACGCCATAAAAGGAGTCACACGGAAGTACAACAGCAGTCAACAGGAGGCCAGGGAAGAGACCTGTCGCGGCAGCAGTAGCGCCACGCCAACCAGCGAGAACTACTATGAGAGATCAACCCAGATCTTCAGCCGGCCTATGAACTATACCACAAGGTAGCTGTCCTAAAACCACACGTTCATATTGAAATAAATCACGTAAATCTATTTCTACTGCTGTCGTATTTCTTTCTTGCAACCATACGCTTGTCTATAACATTACAAAAAAAACAAAAAAAAACAACCCAAACAAATAAGAATAATACGAAAGCTAACATATGACCTGATAGGTCATCACAGCAACTTGGATTTTTACTGATTTTTATCCCGAATTAAATGCGCTGGAATAAAGAAAGATAGAAAATCTCTTGCTATGTTTACAGCTTTTCTTTTCGTACTTCTCTCATCACGTAAAGGCAAGGAGAAGCAGTATGCCTTAAGTAAACAATTGTCACAACTGAATTATTCTGCTTCTTGTTTCCTCTCGAAAAAGACATACTATTTTATTAGCAGTGTGCAAAAATTCTCAGTGTCCATTTTTTTTTCAAAACTTGATACTGAATACTGTGCGAATTTTACCTGGTTGTGTGCGTGTGTGTTCTCGGCAGTGAGAGTGGAATGAACAAAACCCAAGGCTCAAATAACTGTTTAACAGCTTTTGTTTTGTGAGTGGAAGAGAGTGCAAAATAGAGGTATTTTGCGGGGGAAAAGTATGGTTTTGTGTACATTTTGTTTAGTTCTTTTTTCGTAACAGATTTAATGTTTAGTATAGAGCTTAGAAAAAAAGTGCAGTGTGAGATAGGCAAGAAGTAAGTCATGTAGCAACATCAGCACGGCAAAGGGTACTCCTTTAAAGGCAAGGAAGGGCAAAAATATTTTAAGTGATAGCGATTGCTGTATGAGTCGTACGATTTTTGAATCAAGTACAGGCAACGCCGGGTCATGCTGCTAGTACATGATAAAGGCGATGACAGAACCAGTTGGTGATTGTTAAGCTATTTTATGAGATATAAACTTTTAAGCCTCTTTTCTATAAAACGCCTCAACTTTTAAAACTTTAAAACAGTAAAGACTGTTTTAAAGCTTCAGTGACATTTTATTTTATCAAGTGGTTGGAGTGTTGTGCATATATTTTGCTATAATAAAGAAACCTAGGAGACAACATTTTCAAAGTCGATTTCTCTCACTCAAAATTTCTAAGTTTATGACAATACAAAAGAAAATCCACTTATATAGACAGAAACATATTTGGTGAGAAAATATCTTTTAACCTTTATCACTCTGTATGTGACTTCATTTGCTGCACAAAAAATTTATCCTGTCACTGAAGGTGACTCTGATCCCTAAACAATACTGTGTTTTAATTTCCTAGTTGTGTTGCTATAACAGAAAACTTTGAGTGAAATTAACAATAAGGATACTGCAATTGAGAGGCCTTGAAAAAGAATGCAGAAGATAGGGAAGTAATATTAATAATGTAGAGTTCTAAAAAGGTTAAGGTTAATCTTGAAGAAAGAATTTAGTAGCTCAAGATAGTTAAGTATTATAAATTTTTCTAAAAATTCATGTTACAAAATATCAACCCTTTGTCTTTCTCACTGTAGACCAAATACATTTTCAGCCAATGAGGTATTCAGATAGAACCTTTTTGATAATCCTTGCTTCTGAGTCTGATTGTGGCAACACAATGTCTGGTACAAGGTAATAAAAGGATATTTCTAGAAAAAAAGGATTGAAAAGGGAATTCCTTTTCAAGATTATTTCTCTGAATGCACAGGTCAAAACTTGAAACAGATGACCACACCGGATAATATTCCAATAATATAAGTACAAGAAACTCTGGCTACAATTAAGTAAGGATTACAAAATTAGACAATAGAAGATGGGAAAATGTTGCTTGGTCTGAGGAGTCAATTTCTGCAGTGACATTCAAATGGCTGGGCTAGAATTTAACATCAGCAAAATGAAAATATAGATCCATCCTGCTTTATATCAATGGTTCAAGTCTGCTGGTGTAATGGTATGGGGAATATTTTCTTGGTATACATTATGACACTTGGTACCAATACAAAAAAAAAAAAAAAAAAACATTTAAATACTGCAGCATACCTGGGTTAGGTATTGTAATTCACCATCTGACTAAATTTATGACTGTAGTGCACCTATCTTGTGGGAAAACTGTCACAAATCAAAAATTGTGGCAAATTGGTTCACAGAATAGAGCAAGTTTTCTGTGCTATAATGACCTCCAGTTATTGGATCTCAAATCTTGTATAGAGATCCACTGTGAGATGTAATGGCAAGGGAGATTTGAATCTTGGATATACAGCCAGTCTAGAATTGTGGATGCCATAACAGTAACATGGATCTGAATTTTGAAAGAGTGATTCAAGAAAATCATTAAATCCATATCAAGAAGAGGTTGTCCATAAAGGCCAAAGTGGGATCAAAGCTGGTACAAGAAGAGTATACTTAATAAACTAACTAGTGCAGAGTTTAACCTTTTTTTTACTTCAGGGTGCACTTGTAAGATAACTAAAACTGGGGTACATTTTAATACAAGATATTATGTCATGTGGAATAAATAATTTGTGCATGCTTCAAGAAATTACATTTTCCAATGTCATAGAAATAATGTTGTATGTGTGTATGATTTTGCAAATTAGTGAAAGAACTCAAGAATAATTCAGCTACCATTTACTTAGAAAGCAATAGATATTTCAGTAGAGTCACAGAATATATATATATATATATATATATATATATATATATATATATATATATATTCCAAGCTTCAAAGTTCAGATCTTATGAATGAGATTTAGTCTCTTGACTCTACAAGATCATAAGATTTTATCTGCTTATAATTGTTATAAGAATAAAAAAAATTACTCATCTGTTAACTTATGGCATACCTGGCTACCTTTCAGGGTGAATTAGTGTGTCAGGACACACAACAGTTGAACGCTGAACTGGAGTGTGCATTGTTTCATTTTAAAAAGCTATGTTGTGGATTAAATATCAGAGCAGATTGGATTTTTTATCTTGGTTGGCAAGCAGCCAAGAGGGATAACTGAATAGAGAAGGTACTTTACTATCTTTCCTAAGAACCTGATTCCTAGCAAGGCACAATTTGCATTCAAATAAAAAAATCAAATTATTCCACTGTAACCTTGCAGGAATTGTAAAGTTTCAGTTTCTAATCAAGATCAAGCCCTTGTGCTCATCTTTTCCAATTAATACTTCCATTGCTACATTGCCGTCTTGCTGTGCCGGTCTCTTTAGAAAAATAGGAAATTATCATTTACTGGAAATAATTGGCAATGAATTGCTGAGAAACTGAATAGAAGAGGAATAATAGAAAAAATAAAACAAGAAAAATATTTTACAGAATTTAATGATTTTATTATCCGAATGTTTATATATGATTAAGTGATGACTTTATTCACTTTTTTTTTTCAGCATTTTCACAGATTGTTTTGCAGTTTTCAACTTAGAGAGGTTTTCCTTTAATTTCTTCTTTTTTATTTTGTTTTCTACTTTTGGACTTGCTTTAGTTTCATTACTTTTTTTTTCACTACCAATTTTTTTCTTTTTCTTAATCGTGGGTTTCTCTTTCAAGTCACCATTTTCCTTTAGTTCCTTTTTATTTTCGTTCATTTTATTTTCTCGATTTTTCTTGTTCTTTTTCTTCTTTTTACCCTTCACATTTGGCTGTGCTGTTTTGCCCTTTTTCAAGCTCTCAATTTTCTTTCTAAGCAAAAAGTCTTTTCTTTTCAGGCATGTTTGAGAAATCTGATCCACCCCAAAGTAATTTTCTTTCTCCACTCTTTGAACAGAGATAAATATCATTGCTTTCTGTGACAAAAGCTTTTGCTCTCAGACTCCAATTAATTACTTCAGGTTCCGGTTTCTTTGGTATTTTTCCAGTAGCAGGTAACTGGGTATCACAACCAGCTGAAAGACAACAAAATATCAAAGTTACAGATAAATCCATCAAAATATCTTAAAAACACGTTAACAATCCGAGTTGGAGAAACAAGAACCTAACAAAATTCATCTTTATCAAATAAAAATAAAAGTTAACAGACCTTTTTTTATTAATCATATTTTAGTTGTTGAGTTCCTTTCTATATGACTCACTGCCGATTGATTTTATACATATTTAAATAAAATTACAAATTTTGCTAAAGTGACACAAAAATCACCCACTCACATGATTGGATCATGACACCTACATACAAGTAAACAGTAAATAATTTTATCTGAGTCACCTACCAGCTAAAAGGAAATAAATAAAAGGAATAAAATTTTAGGGAACAAGTGCCAGTTGGCTGGAAGTTGGAAAGTCCCACTAAACCATGGAATTGTGAGAAATTTTCAGTCACCCTTTGTCGAGTTGTGAGCTACATGTTAGGGTGTAGAGATGGGCAGGAGTTAGGAGAGTTCTTGTGAGCAAAGGAAAGAGCCGATCTGTTAATCTGTCATCAGAGTAAGAAATCGTCCCAAGTGTCACATATCTACCCTTTCCCCACCAACCTGTGTTAAGTGAATCTCAAAATAAATAGACAAATATATTGGAAACAGGATTCACTTTTTCATTTCTTGCTCAGGTGTTAATTTCACTCTTCATTTTCTTTGTGAATGTACACACCAATGTGAACAAGAATGGAGACACAATGTTCGGTGATTTGCCCAGTTAGTAAAAGACTGAGAAACAGTTATATGTTTACACAGAGATTAAGTTCTATCATGCAGCCTGGTCAGATTCATTTGATTAATATTTTTAGTTTTGAAAATATTCTATTATCAAATTCTCAATCAAGATATATAAAAAGCGACATGGCATAAGTATTTTGTGCCATAATAGCAATGTGTGTATCTATAGCTTTTGCTAACACAATCCTCACAAAGCCAATGCAAGAATGCCTAGGAGATATAGCAAGACCACCACAATATATATATATATATATATATATATATATATATATATATATATATATATATATATATATATATAAAAAAGAAACATGTCACATGGATCTTCAGGTTTCTTAATGTGTATCAAAGTTATAAATTCAATAGTATCCACATTTTAATGTAGTAATGAAATAAATGCTATTGTCAAATTACACTAAATGAAGTGCAGTAAAAGCTTGCCCATTATAACAGGTTAATTAGGGGCAGGGGTAAACATATGACATAAAATAAAATGTAAGTATTCAATAGCACTTTCTTTTTAAATTAAAGAATTTTCATTTGCAATTGAATATTACACAAGGTTTCACAAAATTGGGGAAAGAAAAAGAAAAAAAAAATTGAAAGCTTTAATTTCATTTTTGCAATAAAATTTTCACTTTCTTAAAAAATTCTATGCCAAATATATTAAGTATTTTTATAAGAATATAATTTATTTCAGACTAAATGGTACATTATGTGCTGCCTCTTGTAAAAATTATATTGTGTATACGTGCATGTCTAGAAGAAATTCAGTCGTATAACTTTTTGCACAGAAATTTACATTTTAATATAAATGGATAATGCATTACAGGATAAGCAGCAGATTTTAAAATAAGGCTTGGAAAATAACTTTATTCGCCCTATATTCACACACATTATATAACCTTAAAAATCCATTGTTGGTACTTATTTCTATGAATATAGGCATATATTCCTCTCATCAGACAAACTACTGATGAGATGAATGTGCCTACATACACCAAAATAAATTGAGCTCTCATATGGGCTAAAAAGTACTCTTTGGTATAATCCCTACCCAGTACAATTTAGTGTGTGTGTGTGTGTGTTTGTAGTGGGATGCATTCACAGTTACAATAAGTTTGTCTTAGCAATTCACCCCGGAATTAAATGTAAGTTGTGACATGTTTGTTATATTACTTCACCCACCTGTTTCTATATAAGACTGATTCCATCAATGTAATTCATTTAATGATAGATAGAACTGATTAATCAAATAAGTTAAAACTTTCATTCATCTAATGATTTTTTTTTTTTTAAAGCAAGGCGATAAAGACACCAAAACGCAAGGATTTACAGAGTGAAAAAATATGAAAAAAAAAAAAAAAAATCATTCTTTATATGAGAGGGCAATAAAAGAACACAACTGACATTGTGTTTGCATTTTTGAAGAACAAAGTTGATTGGAAAGAAAGAAAGCTGGAAGAGAGTTCCATAAGCAAGAAGTGTGATAAAAGAAACTGTTAGAATAGAATTTATGGTTGCATCAAGCAATTTCAACTGTAAAATAGAGAGACTTAGCTGTGCTTATATTCATAGAAAAGACACAGGGAAGCTGTTATGGTGGTGGGAAAAATGACTGAAGCCGAGATGCCAGGTCAAGATTGATAACATTGCAGATTCTCTGAATTTTGTCAAGAATCTCTAGATACATAGCAGAAACACCAGACCAGCTGTGACAGCAATATTCAAAGCTAATTACATATATAATGACAACAGAAAGGAAGCAGATGCTAACATTTTTATACTATGTTTTTGTATATGAACAAATATTGTGAACAAAATTTTTTTGAGCAAGTTTCAGAAATATGTGTGTTGTGCATTGAAAATCAGGAAAAGGTATTGTCAAGGATCAGGAATTAAGCATCAGAGATTTACAGAATAAAGTTATGAGAATTCTATTTTTAAAAGATATAGATATTTTGGTTTGAATAATTTTGTTATTCAGGCAGTATGCTGTGGGTACTTACGCTTGGCAATGTAGACAGGTAATGAAGGTGAGTCTTCTGTTTTGATATAGATGTTGCGAATATTCTCAGCACCTCCAGGAACCACCTCTGCAAGAACCTTTGCTGCCATAAGAATGTTGGCTGCAATCTCTTTGTCTGTCATGTTGGAATTGGCAATATGAACCAAACTAAAAAAAAAAAAAAAAAAATTTACATAAATTCTCAAATTTTCATAACTATATTTCTTATTTTATAAACAGCAATTTCACAAGACAATTCAAAACTGCATAATACAACACCATCAGTTATTGCATGTTAAATAAAATCAAAACACACAACATAAGATAGTTATAGCTGTTGGTGCCTTTTATGGGCAAAACTATTTTTCTCTTCATAGTACTAATTGTATTTTTGAGTATGTCAACATGAATATTTAACACTGTATTTCCCCCATGACTTTACATATAGAGAAATATGAACACAACATTTCTATTGCTTCATAGAAATTTACAGATATTACAGAAAAAAATTATCAATTTTTTTTTTTTTTTTTTTACAGTTTATAATTTTTAACAAGACTACCTAAATTAAAACAAATTTTATTGATAGTGTGTTGCTTCTTTTTTATGTAAAGCACCTCCAAGACTTGTAATTGTATCTTTACAATTGTCAAGGCAAAAAATTCTTGTAGTGTTGACCCAAACCTGACAAATTAGAAAGTTGCTATGAGTTTGTCTTGTAGGTTCACATATTGCACTTTGCTTTAAAAATGACAGGTCAATTTTCTTCAGAGAAATTTTTTGTGTTATAATCAATATAAATGGATTTTTTTCACCCTCAATAGAAAGTTTCAAAAAGGACAAAAGAGACATACGATAAATTATAAGTAGTAAAGAAATATTTTCAGTGATTTCAAGATTCATACTAATAGTTACAAAGAGTTGTGAGCTTCTAATTTTTTTCAGGATTGTGGAGTCTGTACACAAAACCTTTGACTACTTGGCACCTCTGACTGACTCCTCTTTATGTAATTAAATGATTGTAGCCTACAGTTCATATAAAGCCAATGCATACTCTCCTAACTTGAGTAAGCCTAGATCATTAGAATTGGTTTATATCAAAGAATAAAGATATTGTGGCTTTTATAGCATATCTATTCATTCAATATTTTCTAACAGAATTAGAGACACAATCTTTGAAAGGATATAGAAGAAATAACAATAAAAATGTTATAATGTAAGACTTTTTACATATATACATCTTTGCAAATAAGAAATAAGTACAGAATGTGCGAGAAAACGTGGAAAAAAAATACAAAAACGAACGCCTTCTTGCGACACAAAAACAAACGCCTTCTTGCGACACAAAAACAAACGCCTTCTTGCGACACAAAAACAAACGCCTTCTTGCGACACAAAAACAAACGCCTTCTTAACAAAAAAACGACACAAAAACAAACGCTTTCTTATACACAAAAAAAACAAACCTTCTTAAACACAAAAATGGACACAAAAAAACAAACGCCTTCTTGCGACACATAAAAACAAACGCCTTCTTCGACACAAAAAACAAAACGCTTTATTCTTCGCACACAAAAAAACAAACAAAAACAAACGCCACTATTAAAACAAACGCCTTTCTGCGACACAAAAACAAACGCCTTCTTGCGACACAAAAACAAACGCCTTCTTGCGACACAAAAACAAACGCCTTCTTGCGACACAAAAACAAACGCCTTCTTGCGACACAAAAACAAACGCCTTCTTGCGACACAAAAACAAACGCCTTCTTGCGAACCAAACTTTACGACAGCAAACGAGCAAAACGGCACCCACAACTGCTGCCGACAGACGGACGACTGACCGCAACGGCTGTTGTCGCCCAAGAAAAGACGCCAAACGACTCGTGCATCTTCTTATAGTCCTCAGTCGAGTCCATTATGGTACTCCAAGGTGTTTCCGGTGACAACACACACAGGCAGTTCGAGGACGTTTCCGTGCATGATCGTTACACTCCTCCTTGATCTCTAGATCACACAAATGGCAATGTGGGGCAGGCCATTTCTGCCTCGTGCTCCGTCTCAGTGGTATGGTCTCAATTGCTTCCTCAGTGGTGCTCTCTTCAGACGTCTTGCTGAGCTCATCTCGCATAGGTTCATCAAGTGCGCTACTCTCTGAGGTGGGCTCTCCCTGTGATTTTATATAAACCATCGGGGCTTCATCATCAGAACTAACGTGGTTGCTGACGGAATAATTCTTCCCGCACGCTGGTCGCATATCTTTTATGTGGCGCGGTATTCCATCAATAGAGACAGAGTGTGGGCTATTAATTTGTGTCACCGTACCCTTGCTGAACTGTGTCGTACACCTTCCATGCGGATTTTTCATCCAGACAGTCTCTCCTACCATATAAGAATTGGCAACCGTGTTGTCACGCACCAAAGCTTAATGCGGACCCTGTAAGTGTAGGTTGCATTCGCTGGTGCAGTTGAAGCTGTTTTATTGTCCTTTGGGGTAACATTGTGCCAGTATACAGCTTCCAAAACTGAACACCGTGTCCTCGCTGCAATGCGCTTTATGGTATGATGGGATCTCTCAACTATCCCATTCCCAGATGGTACGTGGGCACAGCGAAATCTTATTTGTACATTCCACATCTTTGCAGATGCGGCAAACCTCTCTCCACAAAACGCTGCGCCATTATCTGTAAGCAGCTCAACTGGCGGCCCTCTTTCACAAAACACTACTTCCAGCTCCTTGATGATGCTAGCAGAGTCTTGGTGGTGCAAGGGCTTCCAAATGGCAAAACGACTGGGGCTGCAGTCTATCAGCGTCAGGTATAGTTGATATCCGAAATAGGTTACATCCATCGCAACCCTGTGCCAATTTTCCGCGACATCAAGCCTGCCCGTTTTCCAACGCACAGGGGCCGGGTCGATTGACTGGCATACCTTGCATCCCCTAACCACTGCCTGCACCTCAGCTTTTGTTACTCTTGGGTTGATCAACTTCACAAAATAGAGTGTTCTCTTTACACCAGGATGTCCGCTGGATTGATGAATGGCTCGTACTTGAGCAACATCTCTCTCTTCAGCCACAGCGCACATAGGTTCTCTGGGTTCTGTCATTTTGCGCATTTCATTTAACCATCACTGCGGTACTCTAGTAAATTGGTCGGCTCAATTGTTGCATGACTTGACAAGCTCTACATCAATGTCCAGCTCGTATTCTAAGGCCAACTCTTGGAGTGTGGCTAGCCGACGTCTAATTAGCATCTCAGAGGCTGCCTTGGTGCGCACTCTCGTCCGTCTGGACAGAGTGTCAGCTACCCAGCGATGCACACATGCTGAGTCTGTCCGTAAATGAATGGTTTTGGCCTTCCATTGTAATGCAAGGTTGACACCTCGCAACACAGCATCGAGCTCAGCTAAGCTGATGTGCTTGTCTTCGTGCACTGGTCGGAGCCAGCTTGTGTCTTCTGCCATTGCTCTCCACAACCACACCGGTGGCTAAGGAGCTTGCATCTACCCACACGGTTACATTTTGCTCACTGATGCACCAGTCACCTTTCACTGGATCGTCCTGGGCTAGTCTCTTAAAATGTAAATCGATCATCTGGGCTGAAAAGGGTCCTGCACTTCATCATCCCATCCAGTGGTAGCGGTGTTTGCCCTCCATTTCACAAATGCTGTGGCAACACGTAACCAACCACATACAGGAAAATGGCCAGTCAACTTTCCGCACAGCGAGAAGACAATTCGGCGGGTAAGTTTATCGGGGACTACTGGAAGCTCACATCGCAGTTTTCCTTGCTCCTCCCAGACATGCAATCCCAGTACGCGTGTGCCAATTCTTAGCCACTCCGGGGTCTTACTTGACAGACCAAACTGCCCCAAATGTTCCTTGACACGGACCACAGAAGACACACACTCATTAACAAAAACGTTGTCAATATAAGAGGAGGAAGCTGCGTTGACGATCTCGTCCTGGCTCAAGACGGTATTAACAATGGCCCGCATGATTAAAGGGGCAACATTGAGCCCAAAACCTAAGCGGGTTAGACAATACCTTTGTCCCTTAATCTCCACTGTTTGGAATGGCCAAAGGGACTTCTCGATATGCACCTGCAGATAGGCCCGGCATAGGTCCAGCACTGCAGCATTTGGCCCTTGCTGACGCCATTCCCGTAATTTTTGCGAACAAACATCTGCATTGGCCGCGTACGCATCAACGCATTCATTGAGTTCCCGATAGTCCATAATGGGCCGAACCTTCTGTTTGTTTTCCTGCAGAATGGCCATGAGGGGGATTAAACTCTTTGGGGGTCCAAGTTCCTCCTCTGGGTAAGGAAGCAGCCAGCGGTTATCTATCCAAATCTGGAGTTCCCGATCATACTCCTCCCGAATTTGTGCAGGAGCTGGATATTCTGCCAGTCTATTTCTTAACGTACCTGGAGGTTGGTTGCCAGCCCATTTCCAAGATGTGGTCCACCTCCGAGCGGTCTCATCGAATTCTATTTTAAAGTCAGGCTCGGTAATGGTGATAGCAGCAACGACTGGTTCGACACACTGTGGAAACTTCACCTCACCGGTGCCAGTTACAGATATTCCTCCCAACTGTTTGATGCCGTCTAGTCCGAGCAGGAAGTCAAATCCAAGCAGGTCTCCGTCCACGACCAGGGCTTCCATAGCGATGGAAGGTTTTGCACCAACGCTAACTTGTACCACTCCAATTCCACAGCAGTCAAGTGCGCCTCCGTCTACTGTAAGCATACGTGTTGATTTTCTTGTCCATGCACGACAGCATGACTTGCGGACTAGTGACTGTGTGCATCCTGTATCCACCAGAACTGTACGTGGTATTCCATTGATGTGAATTGTCACTACAGGCAATGCGCCATTTACAACAGTTTTGGGGAGGAGATTGGCATTGAATTCACGACACCTTGCCCATTTCCCGGACAACACCAAGCAATGTGCCCTTGCCGATGACATCGATAGCAAGTGATGGTCCGTCGATGCTTGGTACCAGCACCTTTGGATGGTTCACGACCCAGGAGACAATCGCTCGCCCTATGATTGACGCCATCGCATTTATAGCACCTCGTGTGCACATGTTTCCTTCAACTGTGCAGCCACTGCAGCCTGCTCCGGCCTGCAAAATAGCGCGAGCTCATGCCAACACGTGACAAATCCAGGTCTTCCATCTGGGATGACGCTCTTAAAAGCTCCTCTGCATGCTCAGGCAATCCAGCAATGAATACACACTGCAAACACTTTTCCGATATGCCACCAGACAGAACCGCGAGTCTGCGCAGTTCTGCCAAAAAGACGTTGACTGTCTCCCCTGGATGAAGCCGACGTGCTGCAAACTGCTTCCACGCGGAGAAGGGATCTAAGGCGACAGCTGTGTATAACGCTTTCTTAACACAATTGAAGTCTGCGCGCTTCTCCTCACTCAATTGCTGGTACACAGCATATGTGCCACCTGCCAAATGCATCGGAATAACACACTCGATTCGCTTCACACCGCTCAACTGACATATTAGTTCCACCTTCTCCAACCATTCCACTACCGACTGTCCAGAATCACTTCCGTCGAACAGTGGTATCAGCTTTGGGTTGAAGGCCACAATGCCAAAATAAGCTTGTGCGAAAAAAAAAAAAAAAAAAAAAAAACTTCTTGTGACACAAAAGACGAACGCCTTCTTGCGAACCAAACTTTACGACAGCAAACGAGCAAAATGGCACCCACAACTGCTGTCGACGGACGGACGACTGACTGCAACGGCTGTTGTCGCCCAAGAAAAGACGCCAAACAACTTGCGCATCTTCTTATAGTCCTCGGTCGAGTCCATTATGGTACTCCAAGGTGTGTCCGGCGACAACACACACACACACACGCAGAAGTTGAAATATAATCTTTTACAGGATGTAAAAGACATAGCAAAAATAAAAATTCTATAATGTAAGATTGTTTTACATATATAGTTTTGCAAATACAACTACAGAAAAAATAAAATGACTTAAAAAAGAAGTTGAGATGAATTTCTTTAAAGGAAATAGTAAATACACAGTAGAAGAAATAATAATAAAAATTCTATATGTAAGACTTTTTACATAAATTCAACTGGAGTCAGAGTTGGTATAGTTTTACTGACTGACTCCAGTGACCCCTTAATTGCTTCCAATCCCACAGCCCTGATTCTTTTATTTTTATTATTTCACTACTATAGAGGTAATTGTTTACATGTGGACGTTTCAGCTGTTGTGCTCTCTAGCTTTCATCAGATGCTTTTCAATCCAGGTAACTTTCAGGGAATTTCCCTTTATTTAATCTACAAGTGTAGATTATTCTTGTTCCAATGACCATGTCTAGGCTCATCTTGTCTAGTTCACATTTAGTAATTCTCAGTTATTGCTTGCCTCATTTCCACTGAGAATGAGAACAATCTATACCCTTAGATTAAATAAAGGGTTCAGTTTAAAATTCCCTGAAGACTACCTAGATTGACAAGCACAATGGTCTGCATGTAAATAATGGTAACTTCTCATTCCAGAAATTTAGACAGAAACCATGCGGATAAGGTAGTCACATTTATATTTGCTCAAAGAGTTCAATATCTTAGTGAATCAAAGAAACTAATGATTGATGTAAAAAAATTTTTTAAACAAAGTTTCAATAGTGACTCACATTCTTAAAAGTGTGCATCCAGCAATAGAGAAAAAAGAAAAGATAAACCTCTCACCTGCAAGAACCTTTCCCAGTGATGACCATATAAGCATTATTTACAGCTTGGTCAAGCTCCTTTTTTAAGTCTTTTGCTGTCATTTTTACTTGAATAGGAATCCTGAAAATGAAAGAAAAATAAAGTTCTAGAAGAAATTCATTACTGGTTGTTTTCTGAAACAAACTAAGTTTAGAAAATATCATAGATTGCAAATAGAATAAAAAGTAGTATGCTTATTCTTTCCTGAGGAAAATGGTTTATTAATGCCTATTGCTCATCCTCAACTTTTGCGTTTAAGAGGATAACTCTATATACTTATACAGTTGGCTTATATGCATATGTTACCACACATGCAAGGTCTGTTGTAAATGCAGTTCTTTTGTTATATCTGCATTGTAAGGGATTAATTCTATTAAGCTTGTAGTGGGTAGATTTACTATTAAATATCATATTGATCTTGTAATATTTACAAATCCATTGGACTTGCTCCACTGTGCCTATTTACGCCTTGTGAATGAAATTGGGTAGATGGAACAATTAGGGAGCCATTGATGATTTGTGCTAACACAAGGTCAGAAGTCAGTGTGACCAAGGTTTTGAGCATGCTGGCCTTGTTCAGACTGTTGATCACACCAGAATATGCACTCTCTCCCAGAAACTGTAACTAAGATCCACTCAGCATAGATGCAATATAAGTCACAGGTAGGCTTAAAAAAAAACCATTGAGTAAAACCCAAAAAAAACACAAATGTGTCTGAGGAGGCATCTGCAACAAGAATTGGCTACTCGCCCTAGTAGACAAGCGTACTTAGACACAAGCAGACAGCCATTATATAAATAATAACAAAACACTGATTTAGGGATGGTTTAAAACTTTTTCGATATTAAAAATGTTAGTCTGGATACTAATATCTTTATTCTTCTTCCAGTGTTATTAGATCACTTGTGGCAGCTCAAATACAATATGCAGTTTTTTGTATACAATTGTGCTATATTCTCTAGTGAATACATTAATTAATAGTTTCTGTTGCATTGAGGTAAAAGTTTCTTTTTTCAATGATTATGTCCAACAAGTAATGAAGAATGGCCCTGATGAAGTGTGGAGAGAGAGAGAAACATATAGAGAGATTTTTGTATTTGGACAATGTTGGAGGCATTATATTAATGACTCAAAGTTATAGACACTATAACAAAAACCTATGCTTATGACAGGTATTTCCACTCATTTTTTTTTGCACCACCGCCCACTTGTATAGTAAATATTTAAAAGCATACAGTGATGGGTGAATTATATTTTAGCAGTCACTTTTTCTGCTCTAATAAATCTGGCTTATGTGATAAAAAAAAGAAAAGAAAAGAAAATGGTATATCAAATAAAAATTACCCTGAGCTTACTTAATTTTACTGGCATAGTTATTCTTGATTTTCCCTTTTCTGATTTATATCTGTGGTAAGGGGGAATGGGGAAGGATTAAAAAAAGGTTATTTTATCTAAAGAACTATTTGAATGTTAATGACCCATCTTAAAACAATAGTAAATATGCTTGCAAAGATATTTAGATCTTATCTAGGAATGTGAGTTAGTTATTTCCGTTTAGCCTCCCATTTTTTTTTTGTTTTCTTTGCATATCTCCTTTGAATATTTTTTTTCCAGGTAGCATGTTGAAATAGCTTTTTAGCACTCAAAATCATATCTCCCAATATTTTCTGCTCAGTTGCTCATTGCACACCCAACAGTTGAAACCATCCACCAGTGGGTGATATCACCCAGGTTGGGAAACCTTGATCTATACCATTACATTATTTCAAAATGGGATAACAGACAATAAAAGGGTGTCTACAAGTTAAAGTTAAAAAAAATGTGGAAAGTTATGTTTCTAGAATTTTTCTCTTTTCATTCTTTTACAAGTCATGCATAAATTATCTCAAGATTTTTTTTTATATCTTATGGAAGTTTTCCTGAAATTCCTTTGGCTAAAATGTAAATCAAAGGAACAAGTCTGAATTTATTCTGTCATGGCTCTTCATAAGAGATTTATGCAATAAAATGAACAAATATCGAAATTGCTTACCGTTTCCTTCTAGCAAAATCTTTGCCAAGTGTTCTGGGCAGATTACCAAATATCCTGTCATCAGCCAAAAAGAGGTCATATTTGTTACAGAGATTCTTTTTGGCTTCAATTTGCCTGTATTCCAATTTGAGACATTTCAAAGGAATAACCTGTGTAAAAAAAAAAAAAAAAAAAAAAAAAATTTGCAAAACAAAGTAAACATACACATTTAATTTATTTAAAAATAACTACTGACTTTGTGCACAATCGAACAGTAGCTTAAGACATAAACAAGAAATTCTGCTAGTCCCCTTTTTCCTCTTCATAAATGATTTTATTTTAAAATTATACAAACCTCACTAATGTAGTCTATGCCTTTAGATGCAAGCATCTCTTTAAAATGGACTTGACTTGGTTCATAATCTCTTTCTCCTCTCTTTAAATCTCGGACAAACAGGCAAACATCTTGATTACAAAATTTCAAGCCGTTTGGAACTTTTCTGAAAAAAATAAAAAACTCAAATTAAAATAATCTTTATTTTTCAGTCGCAAGATATATTTTACTTGTGACCAGGTACTGTGATTAAGCTTTTCATTTAATTTTTCTTGTGTTCATACAAGTGCTTTCTTTTCTGGACACAAAATGTGCAAGAACTGTCCAAAAGTTCTGCATATCTGAGCACTTTTGACAATTCTTTTAGCCATTATCAAGGACAATTTTTATTTTAAACTAAATGTGTTTTTTTATGTATATGCCTGAAGTTATAGGGATGTTTTCCAAACACAGCACATTTTGGCCGTGTTCATAGTTAATGTTATTGAGTGTTGCTCTTTCGTTTTTTTATTATTAGTGCTTCCATTATTTTTAATCTCTTTTTATGTGTGGATGAGACGATTATACTTGTGTTTTCTACTAGTATGTTGTGGATGGAGTTTGGTAGCTTTCCGTTTGTATCTAAATGAGCTGTAATTGAGCTATGGTTAGATAGGTGCAACGTATATATATATATATATATATATATATATATATATATATATATATATATAAGCAAATATATGGATATAGATCCGACAGTATGAAGAAAAAATATACGGAAAAAACAAAAAAAAATCCTAATATGCAATTATGATGTTTTAATGTTAATATAAAGTCAACGTCGGACGTTTCGGTCTAGTAGACCATCTTCAGAACATATTCATAAAACATAATTAACAGACTATATTCAATTCAACATGAAAAAATGATGGACATAAGAGTAAGACTGATCAAAACAGATAACTGAAATTTTTCAAGATTAGCGTTCCGTTTCAATATGATCACGTTGGCGATATGTGGGTGGAACATGTAGGCCCGTAAAATCTTGTGTTTTTTTAACATAAACAAGATATTCGCCTCGGTAATTTAAACAATGCTTTAGTTGTACACACAACTAAATCTGATCATAATTTCGATTTTGATTCTGTGAAGATTTTAAAATATATTCATAATAAAAATCTTAGACGGATTTATGAGGCAGGCATGGTGTCTGTCTCACGCATGGTGAATGCTGGACCCGACTTCTTTGATATTTCCAATTTTCTAGCAAGATTAATGCTTGACAAACATACATATAAGTTTTAGATTAAAATAAAATTCTTTTCATTTTTCATTCAAAATACTCTATTTTAGGAATATGTTTTCACAACATCGCCCACGTGATCATATTGAAACGGAACGCTGACCTTGAAAAATTTCAGTTATCTGTTTTGATCAGTCTTACTCTTATGTCCATCGTCTTTTCATGTTGAATTGAATATAGTGTAATGTTATGTTTTATGAATATGTCCTGAAGATGGTCTACTAGACCGAAACGTCCGACGTTGACATTATATTAACATTAAAACAACATAATTGCATATTAGGATTTTTGTTTGTTTTTTCCATATATTTTTCTTCACTATATATATATATATATATATATATATATATATATATATATATATATATATATATATATATATATATAGTTTTTAGGTATGCCATATTTATAGGTAAAAGTGTTTAACATCAGAGATAGAGTATATGTAAATATAAAAGTGGATGCTGAGGTTAACATGGAGTAGTGCTTAAATTTTGAGAAATCCCACTGTTAATATTTGTGTTACAGATTATTGTTGAAAAGTTACTGAACTTGCACTAAATTAACTCAAGAAATCCATTTCAATGAACTGTGCTGTGAAACAATATTACAAATGTAATGGGAATCAATCTTTTCATCATAAAAAACCTTGTGCCACTCAAAAATTGAAATTGAACTCGCCACAAAAAAGAAAGAAAAAAAATATGCAACTGAGGGCAAAGTGCAGAATATTAACAACTCTAAATGTTGCACAGTACTCATAGATCATCACTAATTTTTCAGAGGTAAGCTCATATTATGTTTTTTTTTTAAAATTATATTATATATTTATATATATATATATATATATATATATATATATACACACACATATATATATATGTCTGTCTGTCTGTTCTCATTGACTATATGTATCTTGTTAGTCAAACACATTGCAGCCTGAGTGCCATCAGTTCTCTCACACAAAGAGACTTTGCACCAAAACTTAGCTACAAAGGTGTGCAGTGCATTAGTTTTCATGGCCGGTGAAAACCGTTAAGATTGATGAACAATTCAGTTGCACAAGTCTCATTAAATGACATTTTTTTTTTTTCAAATATTTACAAATTCCAATGTTTGTTTTGTTTTGTTTCATGACATATCAACCACAATGGGTCATTTAATGCTGACAACTTTTTTTTTTTTTCCTGGTAATATTTTTGCTTTGTCAAAAATCTATTTCTGCTAATATTTTTTCCTCAAAGATGTATAGCTGGTAATAATATTTTTTCCTCAACGTTTAGCTGGCAACATTATTTTTTTCAAAAACATTATCAGAGGCCTTGCTGTTGGATGTAGTTTATCGTCATACCCAGGACATGGATGTAGTCTGAGTGTTAACTATCTACCCATAGCTTGGACCCTAACACGTGCTACCACCCTGGCTCAGGGTGGACCTGGGAATACCATCAATTAAGAGGTGGTCCCACGCCCCTCAAAACCCCCTGATCAGAGGCCTTGCTGTTGAACGTAGATTATCGTCTTACCCAGGACATGGATGCAGTTTATCGTCATACCCAGGATGGACTTTGTATTGGAATTTCTTTTTCTAAAAGTAATAATTTTATATTCATACAAATAGATACATGCAATTCCAGTAAGAAAAAAAAAAAATATATATATAGGTTTGTCTGGCTCACTAGGTGTGTGTATATATATATATATATATATATATATATATAAAATGTCAATGTTAAACTAGTGAACAAAGTTTCTCTGATTTATTGCATGTAGGTATAATGAGTCGCAATGCAAAATGTGGTTCATGCAAGTTGCAGAAAAATGAAAAAAAGTTTGAAAAATGCTGGCATAGACGAAGAGAGAGGGTAACTTTGAACATTGGGAGTAAAACAGCTTGGTACAGTTTCTTAATAATTTTCCATTGAATAAATGCCTTTCATTGATTTCTACCTTCTTGTACACTAATACAAATCACAAAAAAAAAAAAAAAAAAAAAAAAATCAACTGAAAGACATGAAAACAAACTGTATGCAACTTTTGATCCTGAACAAAGCAGGTTCTTATGAAGACTACAGATCAGTTTTGTTTTAATATCTTTCCTATTTTTGTGCTGTGATCTTCAATAAAACCAGTTTAACTTTTTACTATTGAACACTCATATAAATATTGGCTTTGAAAGTTTCACTGTTTGCATGATTTTTCTGCTTTATTTGCAATGATGTGTTCAAATAACATAGCAGAATATACACGAGTTGGGTTACAGTGGGTTGAACAGTGAGAGCTGATATTTACAGGTTGAATGCTAAAGGGTTAAATGGGAAAGTGTAGCCCAAAATGCCTATTCACAAAACTAAATAAATATTAAAATATTTATTTAGTTTTGTGAAACACTTAAATTACACATTTCCACCTAACAAATTAAAAAAAATACTATTTCTTCTAAATCCTGTTTAAAATGATTCTGCTATTCCATAATAAATGGCAACTTCTAATTTGATGTTCTAAAATGAATCTAGAAAGAAAAGAAAAAACAAATGGAGGTGAAGATTATCCTAATAATAAAAGTTTTGATAACAGATAAAGGTTTCTACCATTTTCCTTTGTAAAATTTAATTTCTCTGATAAAGCTCTAAATACTTACATTTTGACAACTTTGTTTTTGACAATAGGTATCAACTTGAAAGTCACAGTTAGAAGTATTTTGGTTGGGACATCAAACAATTCCGCATTGCTTCTTGTCTTTTTCAGATATTCTAACAAAGCCTTTGTGGGTTCCAGCACCTGAACAAATAAAGCAAAAAGATAACTGAAATTACAGGAATACAAGAAGCACATTTGTATTAAACAGCATCAAGGAATCGTTACAATAAAAAGGAAATAGCGAAAATGTTTTTCATTTCTTCTGTGAGTTTATAGTCTTTTAAACTATTGTATTTCTGAAAGTACACACTTCTCAAAACAGATTTATTGATGAGTGTTTGATACTAGAAGTCATAGTTGAAATGGAATTTTTTCTTTCTTACAGATTTACCAACTGTCATTTTTATTTGTTACTATGCTTATCTTTGATCCCCATATAACATTGTGACTGTTAAAGTCACGTAATAATGTGAACTATCAGTACCCGTGGAATTTCCACAGACCAACTATTAGAATCTTGAGCAAACAAACTTTTTCTACATATATGTATGCATAAAAATATTGCATTGAAGAAGGAGTAATTAAAATCTCTACATATAGAATGAGATACATAGGCAGCAAATAGTAAAATTGCATATATTTGTACAGGTATATTTACAAATATATAAAGTTTAGCTATTAAATATATCATTTTTTAACATACAATAGTCATGGGCTGGGAAAATAAACACAGAGATACTTAGGAGTGTCTACCATGTGTGCAAAGATACACACATATAAACCAATGACACATACCTAATGCAATCAAGAATTTTCTGAAATCATTTAATTCCTTCAAGACCAGTACCCCTCAGTAAACAATATTCTTAATAATAACAGTTTGCCCTTTTCTTGATAGTTGCAGTACTCCATTAGGTTCAGGCAGCCCAACTGTTAAACAATCAATGCCATTGTCTATCAGAATTGCATCAATTGAATGCAGCGCCATGTTTTCCGCATGGTCTGCATTAAAACCTTGTTGCAAGAAATCTTCAATCATGGATTCCTTGTGAGGGGTCCACAGGTGAAGAGCATTTTCAGGGTTCAAAGGGCAGCAAACATAACATGCAACTGTAAGGGTATCTGACAGGCTGCAGCTTTTAGCAATGCATGTTCCAGTGTGTCATCGTTTGAGAGAAGACCATATCCCAGGCGTGCAGCCATAAATGTTGGCAAGATTTCTCCTACAGTGCGCAAATCCTGTAAGCTCACAGTGCCTGAAATCCGCAGCAGCAGTATTTTTCTGTGTCTCTAGGGCTCACTGTATACATTCTACTAATGATATTTGTATTCCTTTGACTTGGTGTCCATCTTCTAGACTGCTTATAAACCAATAATGCAATGGAATATCAGGGTACAAGTGGTTCCTTGTATCATCATGCTCATTCAGTTTAAACCATGCAGTGAGGGTAATGTCGGTCTCTCTGCCTGGGCAGCTTGCTGAGCTTTGACTCTGTGAAAGCAAACTCTTTGCTGCTTTTCAAGATGTACAGCAAATCTGTAGACATTGTGAGATGTGTCATGTAGATTGGACTCTGACAGTGTCATATGCCCTAGTCAACGAATGGGTTTATAAGGCGATCATACGCCGACCAGAAGATATATACATTACCACACCTGTGGAGAGATACAGGCTATCTCTCTCTGATCATGACAATGGACAATTAGTAAACAAAAAAATATTTTAAAGAACACTGTTCAATTAGGATAATCGAACAGTAATCTTTTCCCAGGTTCGCTTCGGTTTCAACACGAATACTGATCCACAATTCAAGGATGAACGATAAGGCATAGTGAATTTTGATATAAGAACTTTAATATGTACAGATATACAAAATATTAAATAAAAGAAAATATAAGCATGAGTAAAACATCCGACAACCAGATCTCAAGACTTATGTTGGGATATCAAAATATGCCTAACTCCAAATGGATTCGACTGAACCCGAATGGATAAAAAAATATAAGTATGAATAACTACGAATGCAGAAATCAACACATAACCAAAAGAGATGGGATAGGAGTTACATATTATTATTTTGACATGTGGAAAGGTGTTTGTAAGAAGATAATATTTATGGATGCATGTGTATCTTTCTAACATGGGTCCAAAATATATGATTACTTATCTTTATATTCAGTTCTCTTTTTTTATCATTGTCCTTTCTTTTCTCTTTCACGTTTCCTCTTTTCTTCCCCCTTTTTTTTCTTGACACAAATACGATTTCACACACTGTCCGGCTGTAACAGATATACACTTTCTTCCTCTCTCTGGTTTTCTTTTTTCTTTCTTCTTCTGTATACAGTTCAGTTTCAAACACGATTCAACTGCAACAGGTATATACACTTTCTTCCTCTCTCTGGTTTTCTTCTTCTTTCTTTACACAATTCGGCTTGTAACAGAGATATATACTTTCTTCCTCTCTGGTTTTCTCTTTTCTTCAAATGCAGTTTGTATTCTCAACGTACAAATTCCTTTGCGTCTTCTGTGATAAATAACATGAGTTATTGTCTTCAATTTGGTGTTATCGAACAGAAATACATGTTCTTATATTTCTTGTCCGGAGTTGCCTGGGATGAATCGGACAAGTTCCATCATTATCAAATGAGTCTCATCTTTCCGTTCATAAGTTATCAGTGCTTTGATTTCGAGTCTTGCTCCTTCAAAGACAAGACAGCAACTGACCCCCAAGTAATTTTCTAACTCTCACGTGTCCTGTGTTTTGGCGTGAATTCCAGCTTACATCAGTCCCCTGTCTGGCTTCTGCCTAGACATCTGTTGCTACGGGTAATTGGGTCAGTCAACTTCTTGACTTGCTTTCCCCAAATGTCTCAAGACTTCCACGTGACCTCTTCTGTTGTCAGGTGGAGATTAACATTAATATATGCGTGTATGGGCTATCTACGTCTGTCACAACAGTCTCTACATAACTTCCGGAGGAGAAACATATTGGCAAACAAGATAATTAGTAATTTCATTGTGAGCTTGTTTCTGCTCATGATCTGCTACTGGGTTGTCTCTAACAGAAACCCAGCCATGTCCTCTGTACAAGTACTTTAATATAGATATATTTAATGCTTTTCACTGATGAACAAATTTCTACATTAATGTGGGTTCTGTACTTTTTCAGCAGATAGGCATTGTACAACAATGTTCCTATTGTCAACTGAATGACATCCAGCTTGAACTGTAACTCAAGTATTGTGTCTTCTGTACTCTAGATAGCCATTCAAATTCAGAAGCATTTCATCTTTGTAGTTCTTTGGGAAATTCTTTTGGCATGAGCCATTTTCCATGCAAGGGGAAGAAAGATTATCTGTTCTGCAAGAACCATGTATCATGCAACACTGGATCATCATTGGCATCAGGAATTTCAGCTGTTACAATACTATCTATATTATTGATGTTTCTGAGTTTGGTCTTAATTTCTCAAAACTACCAACATGTGGCAGTGGGGAAAACCTCTCCTGAAACTCAATGACAGACATGAGCCACTGACACCCCAAAAATGTGCCTATCTTTTATGTCTCATAAGTTCTGCAAGGTGTTACTTGTACACTCGGGCAACTAAATCTGGCCTATTTTCAGGTGTTTCATTTTGCTGTAGATTATCTTAGGGCATTTCAGGTTGCAAGTATAAGTGATGAACAAGTCTGGCTTACCATATTTTGAAACAATTGACATGGCATCCCAAAAATATCGATGCATATTCCTTGGACTGCCTGTGAAAGAGGAAGGCAGTATGACTGGCACTCCTGATTCAATATTCTCATCTGCTCCTGTGCTCAAATAGTCAAATAGTGCTCAAATTGTACCTTTTCCCTTGCAACTAAGCCTGATTGTTCCAAAAATATTGCAACCTGTAACCGTAACATATGCATCAACAACATACTATTGAAGTAATTTTCCATCTCTATATGGAATAAAACACTAAACCCCACCTCTGAATGCAAAGACAATAGCTGTAATATTCTTGCATTATTAGACAATTACACAAACACGTCTAGAGTAATAAGATAAAGTAAAAATTATTTTTTCTAGAATTAGGTTCTAATTAGTTAAGTAAAACTAAAAATAAAATTAATTAAATGAAGTATGACACACTGAAATAAAATACAATAAATACATAAAATAAAAATACTTAATGAAATAGGAATTTAAAAAAGTAAAACTTTAAAATTTTGAAGGGATAATTTTCAAAGCCTGTTGAAAGACAGAAATGAAATGAATGAATTCCAGTCCCAAAAAGTCAAGTGGCTTTTCCCAGTAAGGAAATTCAAGGTTTCAAAACAACTGATAAGTTAAAGTAAAAATTATTTTTTCTAGAATTAGGTTCTAATTATTAAGAGGAAGACAACCATTAAAACCCAAGACCTTTTAATGATAGTGTCATTTAGAGGCCACCATAAAAATTTTTCTGAGGCTAAATTAATTTTTCAAAATTTCATGGAATGTTATGTTTCTTTGAAAATTGCTGACATTTGTTAACAGCAAGAGTGAGATGGAGTGGGTAAGTGTTTCTTTGAAAATCAGTGCTAGTGAGACACCAAATACAGATCAATATTGAAGAGTGTAACAGACAGACTAAGGAAGGAATACGCACAATTATAATAAGATGGTTTCAGTAGTTGTTCTATCAGCTTATTTGTTTTACAAGGTCATGTTAACGGTTTTATGTAGGATAGTTTTTGTAGCAACTGCTTGTAGATTGATTTCTAAGAGTATTTTACTTTGGGGGATGTCATTTCTGATTTTTCTGATTTCTAGTTTTTTTTATTTTTAATTTATCATTTGGTTTTAGGAATGTTTCTTGAAGGCAAATGATGGTGAAAAGTTGATTTGTTATGAGTAGGAGTAATTCATTTATGTTTGCTTTTAGGCCTCAACAATTCCTCTGTATAATTTTTTTGCATCCTGCTTATGTAGGTACTTCCACTTTTTTGCAGAAAAAACATGATAGCATGATGAAAAAAAAGCCCCAAACTTAATTAAAAAGTTTTGTCATCAAAATGTTTATGTTATTATTAAGAGGAAAGACCAAAGTATTTTTTTTTTTTTTTTTAATTTTTTTTATTTTTTTACTCCTTTGTAGCATGTTAAA